CAAGGGGCATTTTTATAAACTCATTGTTTCTGAAACTTCCCTAGGCAGTTTTGAGGTACAACTGGGTTGGGAAACAAGAAACACACTTGCTGCTTGAACATCTGAAATTGCTTTCAGTCTCCACCACATTCTTCTATAACCTTAGTAACACTCACTTCTTTAAGACAATGGATTGCATTGTTTTTTGATGGGCTGAAGGCAAGGCTGCTGAACTTGGATGTCTTACTACACACTTGTGTAATATTACTTTTGGTTGAAACTTCCTAGGAGTACTACAAACAAGGTTTGCAGTTAACGTCAGGAGGGGACTTTAAAAATGTGAATATAGTATGTACAGAATCTGTTGCTTTTTGAGAAATACTCCAGCCTCTCCCCTTTCATTTAGTAGTTTCTAAGTCTTCGGTTTTGTGGTTACATACATACACTGGCTACCTCCTACCAGAGTTGCACTGAAATAAAATGAAGATTTTTGTCCATTTTCCCACCATGAAGTTTCTCAGTCTCTTCGAGTCTCTAGTCCCATATTTAAAAAAAAAAAAAAAATCAGTCTAGTGGCTATTTTTTTTTTTTTTTTTGGGTCTTTTTCATTTTTACCGGTACCAGGGATCGAACTCAAGACTGCCTGCTTGCAAGGCAGGCCCTTACACCACTGAGCTAAATCCCCAGCTCCCTAGTGGCTATTTTTAAAATAGAAGATAGCATTATAGAGAAATTATACCATTATATGGAAAACAAATGCAATTCTGTTAAGTATTGATAACTGATATCAATGCTATAAATTTATAATTTAGTGTATATACAACATGTACATCAATATATACAACCAACATTACCAATATTGTACTGTAGGCTCTACAGAAGTTTCACAGCTATCAGGAATATGGTCTAAAAAACCAACACAAATATTTGCCAAGAAAACCTACCTTAAAATACAAATTCAATTTATAAAGTTCTATCTAGGGTATCAAATAACTAATTACTGAGGACACAGAAACAGTCATTCAAAGCACAAAGATTTAGACTTGGGTTCCAGATCATGCTGTTGGTGGAATCCTGCATGAGTAGTCATTATGTTTTTTCATAGGATCATGGGAGATCCAACCAATCTGTACTGGCAAAGTGCTTGTCACAGTAAAGGCACATCAAGAGGGCTTTTAAATTGGCATTAAGCCAAATGTGGTAACACACTCCTGTAACCCCAGCACTTGGGAGAGCGATGCAGGAGAATGGGTTACAAGTCTGAGACTAGCTTGGGCTGCTACAAAGTGAGCCCGAGGCCTGTCTGAACTGCATGGCGACCCTGCCTCAAAAAGCCAAAAAAAAAGGGGGGGGGGGAGCGCACATTTAATGCCCTCTCCACCCAGGAGCTAGCCTATTTACTTTTTGCCCAGTTGAAAAATCAAAGATTAAATAATTTCCAATTATGAAAGTAAAAGATATTCCCATGTAATACAAATTTTAATTTATGAAGTTTAACACTTTTAAGACTTCAAGACATTTCCTGTTCATTTAGCACATTCATCTGATATTTTACTGACTGCCTATGCTCACCACATACTAGACCTTGTGTTGAGACAAAGAACCAAAAGCTGCAGAATTTGGAGATATTAAAATTTAAATTTCTCCATACTTCAAGAATTCTTATATTCATTATACTATTGGAATACTGAAATAACTATTAAGTCACTAAAAATACATAGAATACATTTACTTTATGCTCCTTATATAAAAACTAAAGCCATTTTAACCTGGCTCATTTAAGATCAACTTAGACCTTAACACAAACTGCTTACATAACGATTTATAAGATTTAACATTTATAGATTAAATATGATTTCAAGATGTTCTACTGGATCTTATTCTTCTGACTTAGCTTTATCGATCTCTGAATCATTTATTACTTGTTAAATTCAATTATTCTTTGGTTTCCCATGTATTCTAGATAAAGAATTGATTGGTATAGGAATACGCATGCAATAAGGAAAAATTTTTTAAATTGCAGATTAAAATCAAGTATCTATCTGGATGACCCACTTAGCATGTAAAAATATTCACTAGGATTACAAAGGGTTTAAGTGGACACATTCCAGAATAGTAGCCACCACTGTACCTGCTTTCTTTCCTGACAAGTTACCAGCAAGTATAAAGGCAACGAAAACACGCAAAATTCCATATTGAGGTGCTCATGTATTAATTTTAGTGTCCACATTCTTTTATTCATATGAATGAGGTACAAAATGAAAATAGTGGATGGAAAATCATGTCTATTTGCAGCACAGAACATAGACAGGCTCAGGAGCCAGAAACTAGAATCAAATTATGTAGGTCAAATCTTAGCTTTGCCACTCTTCAGTACCTTGGGCAACACTGGTATAATAGTTCTTATCGCACAGAGCCCACGTGACAACTAAACAAACATACATAAGTACTCAGAATAGTGTCTAGCACATGGCAGGCACTTAATTGTTGGTATGATTTAACATTTTTAAATATTTCTGCTCTTTGTACTAAAAATGACTTATAATTTTGCTAACCTGAAATGTTTTAAACATTCTTACCAACACTTATTGACTATGCACCATATAATACACAATCTACAATTGATACATTAACAGCTTTCTTTACAAGAATGAGACAACCTAATAGTAGGATATATTACATAACACAAAAACTGATTATCAAGTTACAGTAGATAGACAAGGATAAAATCTTGTTAATGCTAGTCAGCCATTCAACGTGACTATTCAAAACTGTAAACAAAAAATTATTTGGATTTAACATTTTCCAAACTGAGGAACTAAACCGTATTTTAGAACTCCGAGATGCAGCCAATGTACTTATCTTCTAGATATAAGCATATTTTTAAGATCACAGATTCTTACTTAGATACCCAACATACGGTGTGCACAGAACATTAACAGTGTTTCACTAGGACTATGAAGATTCTTACCCAGAGGGCCTACCAGTATTTTAGGGGTGGGGAGTGGCACACACTCATGTTTACAGTGCCACACAGATGATCTTTGAGTCTTTTAAAGCAGCATGCATCTCTCCCATCTCATTTTTAAATTCACTGACATGAATCCTTGCTATCTACATGGCTACCAACTGTGTCAGGCTGTGTGTTCCCTAACTGCAATGAATTTTCAGTTGTGAAAATGATAATTCAAAATAAACAGTTTTCAATGTAGTATCACCAGTGTTCCTCAACCACTCAATTCTACTGTAATCTGTAAAACCTTTTAGCATTTGTAAGCATTCAGAAGCTTAGAATATCAAACTTGTACGTTTCTAAATTCTAGTCTGGACTTGTACTGCCACACCTGAAACAATGACATACTTTAATGATTTAGCACTTCAACTTGTTTCAATTTTTAAGATTACAAATAACTGAAGTTTTTACATCTTTTGTTTCTAACTTGACAATCGTGAGTAGTGTTATATATCATTTAATTGCGAATTGAAAATTTGAAATACTAATGCTTTCCTGTAAACATAGAAAACTTCAATTAAATCAGAAATGAAACTCTTCCACGCTCTGTGGTACACCCATCTATCACTCAAGTACAGTGAGTGTCCTGAGAATGTTTATGATAATTTTCACTGGCATCTTAATTCCATCACATCAAAGTGGAAAGTGTAAAATAAGAGCACAAGGCTTAATCTATATTACAGATGGTCACCAAATTAAGTTCAGTGAAACCGTATTTGCAAGTCTGAAAGAAAAATTGTAACTGAAGACGCATGGGGAAAATATTTATGTGGCATTTTTAATCCGTATTAGGATTTCGTTGTAACTTTTCCATAAATTTAAGCAAAAATCATCTTCTGAGACATATGTTCTAGTAAATGTATCAATAGTAATGACAGTCAATTTGGTGTGGGTTATTTGAACTTATTAGTAACATTTCATTTTTTCTATTCAACAGAAAGAAACACTGTCTTATGAGAACAAAAATGCAAATAAAATTAACCATAAAAATACTCTGAAGTTAAAGCAAACTATAATCCTCAGCAGATCAATTAGGCAAAAAACCTAGGTGATAGTTGGAAGCACAGGATAAGTGACATGAGTCTTCAGCACTATGAACATTGCTGAAAACATGAGACACCTCTTCAGAGAACAAGCAAAATATTCAGAATTAATCAGGTTTGAAAAATATTGCTTAAATCATTTTCCAAAACACAGCTGTAAGAACTGAAGATTTTGTTAAAACTATCAAGGTAATCGTATTTATTGCATTTTTAGATTCCATTTTGAAACAGAAAATTAATGTACCAGTTTCACCAAAATATGTACTTCAAGTGTATGGGTGGGTGTGTGTGTGTGTGTGTGTGTGTGTGTGTGTGTGTGTGTGTGTGTGTGTGTGTGTGTGTGTGTGTGTGTGTGGTGTGAGCCTAAGGTGTTTATAAGCAAACTGTAGACTGTATGTGCTTTTCAACGGGGCTGAATTAAATATAACCAGCTGCCAATTTTGTGCTCTGACATACTTGAATTAGTGGGTATGTGTATACTTAATTCACTTGTTTGTCTATAATAGATGAAATAAAACACCATCTATACAATCCACTATTAGCAGTGAGTACAACAGCAATAATTATTATACACTTTATACATACTAAAATATTTTCTCTCTCTAGAAATAACTCAGAATGAAACCTAATCATTATAAGACTTAATTTGGGAAATTTCAAATTACAACAGGAAAAATATCAAGTGAGGGTGTGTATAACAAAGGTTCCTGGTCATAATGCTTTAAGATTCATAAGTGCAAGTGGTAGAATAAAGCATGCTCAAATTGGATGCTTTGATCTTTGTGAATTTACCAAACCCTTAAATTAAACAGGACTAACTAAAGAAACGTTTTAAGTAGAGCAAGATTAACTGGAAAACTTGCATTTCTTTTGCCATTTTTGTTACCCAACTTACACAATGCGCAAAGTGCTCATAGGCAACACTACAGAAATACATTTACATCAACAATGAAGACCTGGGGAAATGAAATCCAACAATTTTATTTTAATGAGCTGTAGTTTCTAAATTTGTTTTTATTTTTTTTTCTGTTTTCATACAGTATTGAAAACAAAATGCGGCACATTCACATTTTCCCGAGGAACTGTAAAGATGATCTCTACAGGGATAAACGCTGTAAAGCCTGAAGCTCAATCAACTGATGTTGAAAACTCTCAAAGGGAGTAAAGGCTCAATCTGAATGGTCTAGAACATGTACTGTAATTTTAATAGAAGAGATGGTCGTCTTAATATTAATGATTTAAAAGAACTTCCCAGTCCATGCGAAGAGTACAGTCCAAGAATAAATCAAATTTCTGAATGCACTTTATGCTACATATGTGTACACTTTGCGGTCCTCAGGTGTTCGTGCCAAATATTCTCTCTCAATAAGTCCTTCAATACGTTTCTTAATAACAACTGGACTTGGCAAGAATCGAGCCTTCAACTGCTGAGTTACCTAAAAAACAAAGTACAAATAGTAATTCTTACTTGAAATTTCTTTAATATTTCCATATAAACACACAAAAATCTCTGTCTTGGAACAAAAATAACATGTCATTTTAAGACTCAGAAATCAAACTTTCAGTGATTTCATAATCAGTTGAAAATACATAATGCTTGAAATATAGTTCATATATGAAAAAGTTTTAGACACAATGCATGTTTAGAACACACTTTCTTGTATCAGCATGTGCAAGCTAAAGTAGAATGATTGAATTAGTTGTGTTATACACTTGTATGACTATACATCACTTCACATAACCACTTTGATGTCACTATTTTGCTGACTTCTGGATTACTCTCATTTTTTAGAACTTAAGTAAGTAAGAGCACAAACTCTCATCCACCACTGCTTGGATTTAACCCCTAGGACTACCACTATTGCCCTAAGACCATGAGAAGTTGCTGGGTTCATTTAAGGAGCAAAGAGAGACAATGCCTTAGAATAATGTGCATCCATACGAGGTGCTACAGCTGTCACTCTTTTCTCCCACGATACTATAGTCAACCATACTGGGTCACTAGTAACAGTAAGCATAGTTGCAGTTACAGTTTACCTAGCATTACTGATCAGTTATTCTGTACATTTTAAATTTATTTAAAGCTCTTCACTCTGTAAAGTAGGTCACTTCATTTTATAACAGAAAAATAAGCTACAGAGGAAACTGATGCTAACAAGCAGTAACAAGGCCAGTAGAGAGCAATCTAATAAACCTTTCTGACCTCAAGGTTAATGCTTTTTCCAGTAACCCACATTGCCTCTTTTGGACCATCCAACCATCCATCTGCTAGCTTTTCTTTTCTTTTACTCTTGCTAATCTTCACTTTTCAAAGCTGAAATGGACTGATAGTTCTTTGAAATCTAAAACTTCACAAAACTTCCAGAATTAACATTCCAGTATAAGCGTATCAGTTCTCCACCTACCTGAGATTTCCAATTCTCTTTTCTTAGCTTTTTCAGACCTTTCCTCCTCCTCTATGGGACCTAGACAGCACTCTTTGTCATTGCAATGACACTCTCTAAACCTTCAATTTTCCTGACTCCTTTGGTCCTATTCCATGATACCCTCTGCAAAGAACACTCTACACCTGCTATTCATTTTAAATCTACGAGGGTTTTTTGCTAAGTGTAACTGTTGTTCTAACACCATTTGCATTGGTTAGAAGTTAATCAACTATTAATCATAGTCAAATATAGCCTGCTGCCTGATTTTGTAAAATTATACTGCAATACAGCCACTTCCTATGTTTACATATTGTCCATAGAGGCTTCTGTGCTACAATTAGCAATTACAAAATTTTCCTCAATCTCTAAGAAAGATTAATACAAATTTATAAATTCAAGTTCAGCAAGTTCTCGAACACCATTTTCTGACAAATACGACTTCAAATTTCATATAAGTTCCCTAACCTACTCAACCTGAGTGCTGTACCATACAAAAGCTCATGTCCTGTTTCACACAGGAAAGACAGGCAATCTTGGTTTGGAATCCCTCAAATTCCCACTCCATGGCATTTGTGTATTTATACATTCTTATGTCACTCATTTCTTGATTAGCACACATTACCCGTACTCTGCCTTGTGTTCTCAGGAAAAGATATATTCAGTATCATTCATTAATATGTGCACCACCCGCCTACATTTTCTAGCCCATCCTCTCCTTTTCCAGACTCTGGTATTATCCCCTCATCCCATCTTCCCTATTTTTAAACTTTCCTTCTTTATCATTAGGCTATAAACACATTCAATATCTTCCCATATAGAAGTAAGATTGCAAACCCCTTACTTACCACTTAATTGGTGATCACTATGCTCCCTGCCTTTTCCATGAGCCAGGATCTAGATGCTACTACTGAATATCCATCCTTACTAGTCCAGTGAAAATGTCTCACAAAGATTAAACTAATAATCTAACTGCCAATGTCTTCAGAGTTTATTCACCTTGCTCTTCTCATGATTTTTTTTGAACTCTTGACCATTCGCTCCTTGGTAATTCTCTGTCCTTGCCCATGTTACACTGTTCTGTTTTTTTTTTTTACTTTTTGGCACTGTTCTCAAATTTAAATATGCTTCAGAATCAGCTAGAGAGCTCCTTAAAACCAGATTACTGGCCCCAGAGTTTCTGGTTTAATAGGTCTGCATGGAGACTGAGAATCAAGAAAACAAGTGCTCATTGGCTTTCTCTTGATGTCATGCTGTTTTCACTGCTCCATACATGTCAAGGAAAACAAAGGACACCCTAAACAATTTAATTCTACCCCCACCATTTCAACTACACTCACATACAGTGAAGTCCCAATTTACCTTCTAGCCCTTATCTGCTTTCTGACCTTTGATCTAATTTAGGTTACCTATTCCTGGACATGACAAAATATAGCAAAGTCAACTTGAAAAAAACAACACTAACAGATAACTGTAATACAGCAGCATATTATTCTTCCCTTTTTGGTTAAAGGGATCAATTTCCATCTAACACTCAAGTAGAAAATCAAAAGGTTTAACTGCCCCTGCTCATTTCCCACTATCAGCTGACAAATCCTGCCAACTGTTTAATTACTGAGATTTAGTTATCTACCTACTGCCTATACTGTACCTAGACCTTGGTTCTCTCTTAGCCTATTTCAATGGTTTCTGAGTCTTCCTCTCTTTAGTTTCTCAATGTATAAAATGGAAGCCCTCAGTAAAAGTAAGTTACTAAGTTTTAGAAATCCAGGAAGTTTGTTTATAAAAAGATAACACCAGTGATTTTTTTCCATATTCTTTATAACAAAAGTTGCCATTTTCATTACAAATACATTAGTTTTTAACGTGTACATATGCTACTGTATAGTTATGTTTAATTATCTTATTTTTAGTAAGTATTACATGACTACAGTTTCAGTTTTTACTCAATGTGGTACTTTTCTAAATTTAAGCTATTGATATTGTTTTGTCTCCATTAGCTATCACTGAAGTGTTCTCACCTCTGCTACTAAAACATTGTGCTGCATCTTCTTCCTAGATTTCATTATCCGCACTATAGCAGCTTCTATCTCATGTTTTCTGTCATCATCGACTTTTTGCCTTGTTTCTTTCCTTTCTGGGTCAGATTCACCTTGTTTGGCAGCAACTAAAATATAAATAATAGCATTTAGCAAAAATGTAATGAAAAAAATCTAGTTTATAAGCAGACAATATTACACACAGAGAAAAACTCTTTTCAACTCCTGCATATACACACATAAGAGTCAATGTTCATTTCAGTCCTAAGTTACTCTTTTCAAAAATTAAGAATTTTATACAAATGGTAAAATCAATTTCATTTTTATAGAATACAGTAATTCCTTTTCTGGAAGAAAAATGGTAACAGTGGTAGTAAAACTCAACAGTAAACAATTTTCATTGCTTGGAACTTCCAGAGGTAACTAGTATTCTGCCACCATGGCTCCAAATTATACTTCACTAAAAGGTACCTTCTGTCTCCTCCAAACTGAAAATATTGCTGTAATATGTAAGACTTTAAGGGACAGCTAAATAAGCAATTAAAAAGCACCACTAAGATGTCTATAAAAGGAATTTAACAGTAACTAATTTGACTGTACTTCTTGGGTTTCCTTGGACTCTAATAATTTCTTGTCACAAACTCATTATCACAAACTTATACTATACACCAATCTTTAAGACAGTCTCACTCTTCACTACAGTCTTCAAAGCATTATTACATAATTCCTTTCTTTTTCTATAACTTTGTTCTAAGGTAAATAACAAACAAGGCAAGTTACTAACCAGTATTTTGTTAATGGGATTAAAAGGAGGTAGATGTAAAGTTCCTAGAAGCAGAACCTGGAACATTACAAAGCATGTGTAACACTGCTACCTTAGCCAAGGGCACTGCAGTGAGACAGCAGACTCTAGAAGATCATTCTGGTGTGTATATCCATTTAGCTGTTTCTAGTTAGAATGCCCTGGTTAGAAATAATTCTTTCAGTCATTCACTAAGATCATCAGTGTTATCTTACTAATGTGCATGCACTCACGTATGTATCTATATGCATAACACCGAAAGCTAGGTCCATGAGGAAAAGCTTATTTGTGATTATTTGTGGTAATATTAACATCTGATAATATTAGTCCTGGGCATGTCAGAATTCGGCATTACAAAGTTACTTAGCGTTGAACAAAGTGAAGCTAGGTAATTCAGATATCTATATTTCTATATATTTTCTTCCAAATCTAGGATATACATGAGCCCTAAAATTTAAAAACTGTTTCTGGCCAAATTTATAGTTATATGTCTTACACTGAAGGAAAAAACCAAATTTCACTCCATGATACTTTGTATGTCACAAAGACTTGGGCTGATCTTAGCTAATGAAAATTACAACGATACAGCTTTGATCACAGGACAAAGGCATCAGGCTTTAAGAGACACCACCCTACTTCATAACTATACAGAATCAAAGGGTCAAAGAAGGAAATAAATTTTAAGAACTAGTACATACAGTTCTTAAGGCAATACATTCTGATAATTTTACGTTTAATACTGAAATAATTTTTGGAAATTTTGTACCTTATTTGATGTACTATATGAAAACAACTTCTAAAAAACTTGGTTTTAAAAAATGATCTTATTTACTCTAAATAACTGGCTACATAGATATATTACTCACAGTGAGTAAAATAGCAGTAGGAAGCTTATTTAACTCTAGTTTTGAAACGGCATTAGATTTTTACAGATCAGCAAGAGTGAAATGGCTGTTTTTCCATTAAGATGCATAGAAAAGGCATCTCTTACATTATGTTAAATATGAGTAGCATTCCCACTATCGACTTGTAAGATTATACTAAAAGCTTCCATCAGTGATATTTTTGTGTTTTTAAGAGAAACAATTAGTTTTAAGATTTTTACACTTAAAAATTATTTAAAACCTGTATTATCAGCTTTAAAAAAAGACTTTCACTGTACTAGGTTCAACCCAACCAGTAAGAAACCACTAAGCACTAATAAATTCATAAAACTATATTTGTTGAGAAATAAATGGAAAAAAATCTTTTTTACACTCTGAATTTTTTTTTTTTTTTCCTACCAGGGATTGAACTCACAACCTCGCACTTTGCCAGGCAGGCTCTTACAACACTGAGCTAAATCCCTGGCCCACTCTGAATTATTTTTAAAAAGGCCTACTATACTTGGAATCAGCTGCACTTTGATATGAACACAAATCAATAAAAGCTGCCTTACTTCTGATGCCAAAAAGTGTTATGTAACACCATGAATGATTACTTGTTAAGAACAAAACAGTGTTTTCTTTAAAAGAAAGAAATCTAGCAAATAGGAATTTTTTTCTTGAGAAAGAAATATGTAAGTTTAGGAGAAAAAATATAATTTCAGACACCTGTTTGAATCTTGACTCTGTGCAGTTTAGATGTGAACTGGTCGTTAACTGTGAATATGTGACCATTTTCTATTTCCTTTGACTTAGGCTCTTTTGTGAGAACCCGCTGTGTTGGTTTACCGCAGGCAAGTGACTGTAGGGCTCTAACCAGCTCTCTCTCTGGGATATCTGTTTCTTGTTGAATTTCCTGAAATGGCATCAGATTGACAAAATTAGACTTTTTGAAACATAAAATAGATTAGTTTATCAGCAAGTAAACTGACCAAGCAATCAATGGTCCAGAGAGGTGAGGTCCACAACTTACAACAAAGAATTCTTTGAATATTGTGATTCATCCCCAAAATTATTTGAGATAGCTAGGAGTGATTCAAATATTCAAGGTGTTAAAAAGACATGCATTTTTGCTTTAGGAGACGTAAGAGCTATTCTAAAAATTCATACCAAAGAGATTATGAAGAAATGTTCTAATATTTAGGTAAAACTAAAGTATTACCCACAGTTAACTGATAATTTTAGAAGATTTTATACTTATCCAAATTTATATACACTATCATTTTGCACACTGCTCAGCTATTTCTTTCTTTCTTTTTTTTTTTTTTGTACCGGGAATCGAACTCATGACCATGTAATTGCAAGGCAGGTGCTTATGCCACTGAGCTAAATCCCCAGCTCTCCTCAGCTATTTTTTTCACTGTGGAAAAAATAAAAAATCTAAGCTGAAGCATTTATCGTAAGATTAAAGTTTAGAAGTCAAACTATAAGAGCAAATGAAAAACTTGAATATATGGAAATTTAAACACGCGAATCAGTACAAAGTCTGTTCCAAAGTTCAGGAGATAACTTTTGTTACATACTGTAGTATGAATAAATCAACACTGGGGAAAACCATACAAGTAGTGGCGAAAGAATACCATCGAAAATGGAAGATGAGAACTGCACACTTATTTAAATGAGGTGGCCATTTTATATGTATAGGGACATGTCAGTGAATAAAAGTGTCACTCCCTTACCTACAGAAATCATCAGTGAATTTTTAGTGGCTGTTTTAAATCACTGTTCAAAGATTTAATATGTAACACTACATAATACAGCATCTTAATGACTTGATATTTGAAGGTAAAACTTAGTGTCCATTAAAATTATTAAATATTTTAAACTATCTCCAAATGTTTTCTGTAAAAGCCAAGTAGTAAAACATAGCAGACTATAGAGATAAGTATAACAGACTTTAAATGTCCTGAATTTGAGGGGTGAGCAACCAGGAAGCTCTGGCACATTCTTGTGGCATTACATGGAATTACACATGCACTATGATCAGGCTTCTATTTGTGTCTAACTGAAAGCTCTCAACATTAGAGAGGAAGTTTTTATTTCCTTCTGCTTAAAATTGCCCATCAACATCAATGATTTCAAGCAACCTGAAAAAAGGAAAAGTAAGGCTGAATCACTAGAGTATTTTTCAGTTTGTTCTTAAGTTATGATGACAATTCTGGAAAAGGACTTGTGTTTTAGGGGCCGGGGATATAGTTTAGTAGCACAATATCTACCTGGCAAACTCAAGGTCCTAAATTCAACTCCTGGTACTAAAAAAGCCAAACCTAAAAGAACTTGTGTTTTTACTTATCCCATTATTTTTGTCAGTCCTTTATAAAACTAGGATTCTGAAAATCCTTGCATTTATTTCCTATCATAATTTACTTAAAATATATTATTCACGAGAGCTGCAGGTTAGTATCCATAAAAAACAACTGCTGGGGATTATTTAATTCCACCTCTGTCTGAAAAGTCTTATAATGTGTGATAGAGGGACTCAGTGTTTGCTTAATATCCCTGTGACTCAACTGCATATACCTTGTATGAAAATCTAACACCAATCTGTTAAATAGAAGGAGAAAAATCTTCTAACTTAGCCACTGAACAAAAAAATCCTAGGTTTAAAAACATTTCCTAGCCAGGCATGGTGGTGATTGTTTGTAATCCCAGCACTTGGGCAGCTGAAGCAGAAGGATCGATGTGAGTTCAAGGCCACCCCAAACTGCATAGCAAGACCCTGTCTCAAAAAGACAAAACAAAAAAACCCCATATATACCACACAAATGCTATTAATTCAATATTTTAAACAATTCTTTAGACACTTTAATACAATATAAAGTGATTCTTTAACACTATTAATTCTTGAACCTAATTCTAGGTTTAAAAACATTTCCTGTATTTACCATATAAATACTATTAATTCTTTCATCACATATATAGGATGAATATTAAAACAGGCCTAGAATTTAATCTTCGTGCTCTTAATTTCAAATTTGTACTTTTTTCAACGTTCACCTTGTGTGAAAGCTGATTTTCAGTTAGGTATAAATTCAGCTGTGTGCTTCTATGAAACCTTTCAAAAACCTCTTAAAAGTTTAACTTCTTAAGCACATGATCTTCATGTCAACCATGACACCTTTTCAAGATAATAAAAAGACAACTGAATTTAAGGTGATCAAATAATGATTTGAAGGGAAAAGCATATAATTACTCAGAAGAAGAAAGTATGGATACAAAAAAACTCTATTGTCATCAAGACAAAACTAGCATGAGGATAAACACACAAATCAAAGAAACAAGTAACAGCACAGACACAGCTCCAAACATATATGGTCAACTGAGTTTCCTTTATAAAGATGTCATAGTACTACAATAGAAAAAAAAAATAGTTCTATTTGTAAATGATGCTGGAATGATCAATTTATGGTGTGAATAAATCTTAATGCTTACTTTATACCAGATAAAAATTAACTTAAAATGGTCATACAACTAAATACAAAAATTAAAAATTATGAACTGCTTGAAAGAAAACATAAAGAAAATCTTCACCATTTCATGGTAGGCAATATTTTCTTAGAACATCAAAAGCACAAACTATGAGAGGAAAAGTGACTAATTATTAAAATATCCTCTTCTTAAAAAACAAAACAAAAACCTTCCCAAAAACCAGCAAGCAACAGATTGAAAAATATTCAAAGCACAAATATCTCACAAAATACTTGCCCAGAATTTGTAAGTTGTATCTAAAATTTTTTACATCTTAAAACAGTATAATAAAGATAGGAACACACACTTCACAGGCAAGACACAGTGTCTTATAAACATACACAAGATGCTCAACATCATTAGACATCAAAGAAAGGAAAATTAAATCCACAGGATACAGTTGCAAACTAGCTAAAATGGCTAAAATTATAAAAACCACAGAGGAAATGGGACAAATGTAGCTCTCTTTCACTCCTGCTGGGAATGTCCAGTAGCCTAACTGTTTATAACATAGTTTGGCAGCTGTTTAAAAGTTAAATATAATAGCTCTGTTAACAACAGCCCAATTCTGGTAAACAATTCGAATGCCCATCAACAAGTGAATTAAGAAAACATAGCACATCTATATGATAAAAACATAACTCCATGGTAAAAAGGAATGAACTACACAGTACTGATACTATACTTTATGAAAGAAACTGAATGCAACATTACATGATTCCATTTACATGAAATTCTAGAAAAGGCAAAATGAATCCACTGGAAAACCAAGCCAGATCACTGGTTACTTTAGAGTCGGGGATGGGCTAAGGAATAGATTTGACTGATGGCAGTTATATAAGTATACACATTTAAAATGCAAATTGTGCACTTATGTGTGGTTTTTATATGAAAATTATACTTTAATAATGTTAATTTAAATAAAAACCAAAGTGAAATGTAACCCAATAATCTATGAAGTTCATACAGTTCCATTGCCCAATTGTACAGCTTTCTCTAAAGGTATTCAAAGAAGTACTTTTACAAGAAAGACTCAAGTAACAACTGAGAGTTAGAAACAATACATCTTTTGAAAATGTACATAGCCGCAATGTGTATTTTTCTCTATTATACCTCAAATGTGTATTTTTCTCTATTATTAAAGAGCATTAATATGGTCATCTGGAAGGTGGAGACTTGCAATATGTGCTTCCGAGTATTTGAGCCAGTCACTTGTGCACCTCCAACACCGACTTCAGATCCGTCTTCCTGTTTGATTTAAAAACAAATTAAATTATCTCCTGATAACCTTAACAGTATCTTTCAGAAATAAAGTTGTTCTCCAACGAACTATTTATTCCACATAAAAAGTAAACCTATTAAATATGTGCGGATACACACACACAAAAAAATACACAAATAAGTCTTTATTAGCCCTCTATTTTAATGTAGCAGAGCAAATAATAATTCCCCACACTTAAAAGTATTTTAACAGTACAATACAGGATGATATACAATAATGCATTTATGAAACACAACTAATGTTACAGTAATATCAAAAGTAGCCAGTCTGTTCCCCCTCTATGACTTAAGAGGCTTAAAGTACATCTTTGTTTTCAGTAATTAACATGTGTGTTATGTTTTAAAAATTTGATTTCTTTAATAAGGCTTCAAAAATATTACTTAGAAACTTTCTCTTTTAAATAAACAGCAAGGAAGTGAAAGTCAAGCACTTTAGTCTCCTCTTCCTTCTTACTTACACCTAAATATGTAATAGTACCAGCCAGGCATGATGGCACATGCATATAATCACAGTTATTTGGAAACAGAGTTCAGAGGATCACAAGTTCAAGGCCAGCCCAAACAACTTAGTGAGAACGTGTCTTAAAATTAAAAAAAAACTTAAAGGGCGACAACTAACTATACAAATATACATATAGCAGTGCCAAATATTCATGTAAATAAACTGTAAAACTTTTCCATTTCAATTAATTATACTCTTTAATATTACTAAAAATCCTTTTGGTGTTACAATGATTCATCAAAATGGGGATGATTCTAATTCAAATTTAAATAAAACAGGTATTTGTTGCCTAGATAGCAACTTACTTTTCTTTAATATTTTTCTAGAAGCTTTTTGGTAACTTTCATTTTTAAAGGAAATGAACCTGATTTGATACTTATTAAGTAATGAAAATTGTTTCTGTACTCTGAACTTCACAATTTTAGATATAAAAACCAATAACTTTTTAAAGAGGAAGACAACTGCAAGTACACTCTAGTTTTTTAAATGATTTCACTAACACGTATATCTCACAAATTTCAAGCATCATTTTTTCTAGTTTTGGTTTATGAGAAATAAGATTATACAACAATAATAAAAACTGCATGGTACTGACACAAAAAAGGAATGCACAAACCAACAGAACAAAAGACACAGAAACAAACTCCCACAACTACAGCCGTATGATTGACAAAGGAACCAAAAATACACACTGCAGAAAAGACATCCTCTTTAATAAGAGGTGCTAGGAAAACTAGATATTTATATGCATAAGACTGCAGCTAGATCCTTATCTCTTGTTCTATATAAAAAAATCAATTGGAAATGGAAGACCTAGATTTAAGACCTGAAGCTATAAACCTGCTAAAAGAAAAAGGGGAAACAACTGAAGCTGCAGGCACAGGAAAAAGATTTCTGTGATAGGATTCCACTGGCATTAAAAACAGCAAAAATCAACAAAGGGGATGTTATTAAATTTAAAAGTTTCTCATATAGCAAGGGAAACCTACATAATGAGAGAAAATTTTTCCCAACTGCTCTTCTGACAGCAGAGTATATTTAGACTATACAAAGGACTCAAAAAAGTAACAGCCCCCCACATTAAGTAGCCCAATCAGTAAATGGGAAAATTAATCAGAGACTTCTCAAGAATATCAACAGCCAGTAAGTATACTAAAAAATGTTCAGTATCTTCAACCATTAGGGAAATACACACTAAAACTACACTGAAATTCCATCTCACCCTACTGTCAGAATAGCTATCTATCATCAACAACAAAAAAATTAAGTGTTGTAGGATGCAGCTTTCCCTCCCCGTTAAAAATTTTAACACAGTTCTACAATGCTGTTGGTAATGTACATGATTTGATAAAAAATACAGTGAATGTTTACATTGTAAAAAAAAATTACAGCACACATTACCACTGATTTCCCTCAGTGTATATCCCCTCAATTTTGAAGTTTATTCTTGCCACTTTCGGAAGCAGCTCTGAAGTCAGTCATTTTGTGTCTTTAGTTGTGCTGTCAAGGCTGCTCTGACATCCTGAATTGATTAAAAAACATTTACCTTTCATGGTCATTTCTGATTTGGGAAAGAGACAGAAGTCACACAGCATAAGATCTGATCAACAGGGTAAATGAAGACACACTGCAATGTTTTTATAAGCCTGCCTTTCTATTGGATGGCACTCAACAGTAGCATTCATGGGATCACTCATATTTTTGATGATACCCCGTAAAGACACAAAAACAGAACTTTCAAAACTACTTCAGAAAGGTCCAAGACTGATGGGAAAAGAGTACTTAAAGTTAAGAGAGATTATTTTGAGGTACATTAATGGCAGTAGGTCTTTCACCGTAACCATTTTTATACTTAAAAGCTCACTGTGTATTTTGACCACACTTTGTAAATTACCAGAGCCACTACAGAAGCAATGCCGAGGCTCCTCAACTAAAACTAGGGCTTCCATTTGATTCACAGAAATACTTGGACACTCAAGTTTATGGAGGTATAATTCACAATAGTCACATATGAAACTGCCCACATGTCTACTGTCTTGGTAATTTTACTCTTATTGCTGGGACAAAATACCCAACCCCCAAAATGAAGGAAGGAAAGCTGTATTTAGCTCACAGTTTATGGAGTTTGTAGTCCATAATCAGTTGGCGCTAAGGCAGGGTGGTGTTTGTAGTCCATAATCAGTTGGCGCTAAGGAGCAACAGCTCATGGCAGTCACCTTTTCCTCCCTTATAATGTATGCTGGCTATCCGCCCCTGGGCAGATGCAACACTCACATGGCCAGCGCTAGACAACAAACCAGTCAAAAATGCTGCCTTTGAAAGGCTTGCTCCCTTCATAACCACTTGAGTTTTGGGGGGAACATTTAAACACAAACCATAACATTCATCAACAGATGAATGGATAAAGAAAGTATGGTTTATAAACATAACATTCAGAGGGGCTGGGGATTTAGCTCAGCGGCATAAGCACCTGCCTTGCAAGCAGGCAGTCATGAGTTTGAGCCCTGGTACCTAAAAAAACCCCCAAAAACCCAAAAAACGTAACATTCAGCTATAAGAAAGAATGAACCTAAGTATTTATCTGAAGGAAAGTACTTAAGGACTAAAGGAAAGTAAAAGGACCTGGGATCATCATGTTAAGCAAAGTAAATCAGATTTAGAATGACAAGTACAGTGTGTTTTCCATAATACACAGATCTAAAAGATGACACAAAAGTATAAAGGAGATTAGACAAGAGACAGGGAATAAGGGGGAGGTACAAGAAAGGGCAGATGGTGTGGCATGGACATGCTCCGAACATATGCACTGATTCAGTATTGTAAAAATTAATATATTTTTTAAAAACTCAAATTAAAAGATTAAAAAAGAGAAAGTATTACAGGAGACCAAAAATTGTTCAAAGGACCAAGGCTTTATATGCCCTCAATTTAATTTTACTATTTTATGTACCCTATGTCACAGTTCAAACTCATTGTCTTATTAAATCATTTTATTTTATTTCTCCAAGAAGGTTATATATTCTTCATATTTACAAATGTTATTTAGCAACTGAGGAACAGAAGTAATAAAATGAAAAAGTTAACCTTTAGTATCAGATAAAGTTAGAGAAGAGAAATAGTCTACCCAAGTGAACATATATCACCAATCAGTTCTATAGACTAATTAACTAATAATATTTACCTTTTTAACTGGACCATAAAAAGTGGCATTGAGATCTGCAGAGCCCATATGATGCTGGAGTGTGAGTTGTCGGCCACTGTGTTTGGCTAAGTAGAACCTTGAGCAAATCAAGTCAGGTTTTAGACTCTCACAATTTGCATATATGAAATTACAAACTGAAAACAATCCTTAGAAACACATATCTATATATACATACACACAAATATATATTATATATACATACACATACATACATACATAAGGAGGCCTTCAAAGTTAAAAAAAAAAAAAAACCTTAGGAAATAAGCTGGGCTTCAACTTTTTAGAGAAGAGTAAATGGGGGTGGATGCATGTAAGATCTAAGTAACTTAGCTGGATACTAAACTCTAAAGGTAGTACATCATAAAATTCCTACTGTACACTTTCCCCTAGTCTACTACTGCTCAGCCCTGCTGTTCATAAGACCATCTTTCTCCACACATCAATAATTAGTTCTTCCTAAGGTAGTAAAAGACAACAACAGCACAAAATGTATGGCCACGCACTTATGCTTTAAAGATAACATTTGTAAAATATATTCCCGAAGAGAGTCTTATGCAACTCATATTTACATATTAAAAATATAAAGGATAAATTCTCATTTTGAATGAGGTAAAAAATGAAATCTATTCATTCTTAATTAGGGACATCATTAATGCTAAAGTTTACTTCAATCTTGAATAATTATTTGTACTTAGAAATACAAAGTCTAATTTAGGTTTACCTTCTGAATATTTCAAAAGCATGTCTTGGTGCTGGTGGGATGTTGCACTTTGGTGTGGCTGATTGCGTGGGCCAATATCCAGTCGTGAGCACCCGGACTGTGAGATCAACACCACCTAAAGATACCTACATTAAGCAGAAAAGAGAATTCCTTACGATTGAGATTAACCATATAGACACTAAGATTTATCAAAGTAGTCATCTCCATGTCTTTGTATACCCATGTATATAAAGGGTATCTTCTTAAAGTTAGACACAGACTATTTTGCAAAGTTTAACTATTTTGCAACACTTAACTATTCTGGCAAATAATTACAATTTACTGCTTAAAATGTTAACTTAAAAATACTAAAAGAATAACTCTTAGAAAGTGAATAAAATCTTACTGCTATTATTAACAACTTTAGTTCTGGGGCCTTTTAAAGATAAAATGTCTAAGGGTCATATCTATCATTTTAGAGACAATTCTGTGATAATATCTTTCATCTTAGTTTGTGAATTTTTACCATCCTAACAAACAAATGGCATGTTCCTAATATCCCAGCTCTACACCGAGCAAAATGTTCATGTTTCAACATGTAATTCACATTCTAAGAGTTATCTTTCATTGCAAAACATTTTCAGTAAATATATGAGTAGATATTTAACACAGAGTCTTACCCCGGTTGCCTGCAGATGTTGCCTGAATTCATCCATAGTTGTGTTTGAGATGCTCATATCCCTAAACATTCCTTCCAGTTTTGATGTGAACTGACATCCACACTCAGTCTATGGAGGAAAACCACAAGTATATACAATTAAGTGGTGGACTTGTACCAGCCCTGATAATCTCCTTGTAAATCTTTCTTCTAGTTGCTGTATGATTATCAGATTTTAGGACAGTTAAGAATAATCCAAGGATCTTACTTTAAAATGCAAACTTCCAGACACTTGGAGAATCCATGGAAAGGAGGATCTAAAACTTTGTATTTTTAACAAGCAACTCAGATACTTCTGAGTTACAGGTAGTTTAAAAACTACTCTTCAGGAAACAAAACTACATGGTAATATTCTTTGTATTGTTTCCTTTTAATCTTTCCCTGAGCCCCTGTAGCACCAGTACAAATGCCAGAATACTCTATGCAAAAACTTGAAAAATGTTAAGTAGAGTTGTTAAAGCATGAGTCTAAATGTTCCCTCAAAGCCTCATGTGGTCATGGGTGGGGCTTTTTCAGAGATGGCTGGTGTGACTCATGGTGTGATGCTAAGATAAAGGCACTATGATAAGGAGTAAGAGTGCTATCTACCCTACGGGTAGGTAGTCTGAGTAAAATAAAAGCACAGAAAGAATTGCTGTTAGTTATTTGTAGTTTTTCCCCTGTGGCTTGCTGCCTTCTGCTGGCTATGAAGTGCTTCTCCTCTGCAATGTATCGCTGCTGTCCTGCCTTGGAGCCAGCCAACTATGAACTGAAATCCTTACAATCTGTGGGTCAAATAAACTTTCCTCCACTGAATTTGGGTGTTGGGTATTTTGTCTCAGTATGGAGAAAAGTAAATAAGACAACAGTTTACATCCTGTTCAAACACAATGTACCTTCAAAATTAACTTTTGAAGTAAACATTATAAGTAAAGTAAATTACTTTCCAATCACATGTAGGCACCCAATTAAATAATAAATTTTAGTTAGTTACACTCCAAAGTATACCTTACCTTTAATTTAGATATCATGTTTTTTTCAGAGTCATCAGAAACACTTTTATTTGTGAGAAGCCTCCTTGCAAGGTGCTGTTTATAATAACGTTCAAATACATCTTTTTCTTGCATAAACCTAAAAAGAACCATTGCCTTATCCAATATTGTTTCTACTTCTTGTTCTGTTAGCTGAAAAAAATCAAAAGATAATTTAAGAATTATAACGTTTTAGTTATACACAAAGTGTCACAGCTCATCTACAGTTGAAATAAACTAGTTTCTAGAAATAAACATCTGGTTGACAGAAGTAACAGGGATCTAGTTTGAGACAGTGCCTCTTACTTCATACAGCAGGCACAATTCTCATCTCTCATCTAATGCAGCATTAATGAGGGGTTGGAACAGAACTCCATCCTTTTAGGGCTAACATTAAACTGGAGGCACAAGGTAATATAGGGCTGGATTAAGGGATGACTAAGAACAAATAAAGTAAAATTTTACTCATAAAAGGTATTTTAGAAACTTTTACATAATATTTAAGCAGAAACTTACATAGCCAAAACACAGATCTTTTCATTTAAACTCATTCAAAACCTAAATTTTGCAAACAGAAGAGCAAAAAAATTGTTATAATTGAAACACTAAAAGGTTCCTTGCCCTTATCTGTTAAATTAGGGCAGGATAATATGGTGGAATGTTATATTAAGTCTGTATTTCTGTAAAAAGGAAGATTAAGTGGATGTGTGATTTCTGTGCATCTTTAGTAATCTTTTTATTTTCTTAACTATGGTTAGTACTTCTGTTATAATTTGTGACCATTTCACTATTTTTCCCTTTTGTCCTCCAAGTTTTAAAATAAAGTGAAAAAGGGTCAATTCATATATAATCAAAATCTGCTTAATTTTTATTTTCTCCGTGCCCAAGGTTCCTGAGATAATCATAGATTGAAACTGAGCTCTGGTATATATTTTCAAACTACTTTCAGAGCGCTATGCTTTCAAATTCCCAAAATCAATATATGTTTGATATATAACCTCCAGAACTAGATGAAAACAAGAAACATTTTGTACCATGGGAGAGTTTCCAGGTTTTCTGCCATCTACAGCACACTGAATTCTCAGTCATAAAGACAAAGGTCTTAACAATTATATCTACGTAGCTGTTTATTTTTCATGCCAATTACACATTAAGTGAAATGTCAAATAACTTTTGTAAATACTTTAAACAATATTTTATAAGATTATAGCACAATGAAATAAAGAACTTTGCTTAAAAATATCTAGAAAGTTTCCTAATTTATACTTGATTTCAACAAATAAGTTTACTGTATTTTTAAATATTACCACTCACCCCTTTTACTCCCTTTTTCAGCTTATCATCAATAAATAATGAGAGGTATTCAGGGGACCTGGAGTTGAGGTTGAGAAAATATTCAAAGTCACCAGCGATAGTTTGTTTAAAGAGCCGGTCATTGTTGAATGATTCCTGGAGGAAGCGATCAAACCTACTCTTCAGATCCAATAAGCCCTTACAAACAAAAATAAAGAAATTTAGAATACACTATAAATTTTTTTCACATATACATACTAAACATTGTTAATAATAAATATGTGTATTTAGCGGTAAACTTGTAGAATCTATATAATTTTCAAGCCTCTAAGCCCATATTCAAAATGTCAGTGATAACAGGAGTATTCTGTCTTCCCTGTATATTTACTGTATTAAAGATCAGCCAAATGACCTCCTCACTGCTCCATCTCACTTTCCTGTCTTGATCAAATGGGCTAGACAGACAGATAATTCAGCTTAAAAAATGCACGAGAAAGCTGATTATAGTAAATATGAACTAGGAGCTAGTTTGTCGTAACACTGCTTGAAAACATTTTGAGACAAAAAATATTAAACTTTTGGTTTTCCTAACACATTAAAGAATATAAAGCTAAGGCATAAAAAAATAAAGCTTGCGTTACTGAAACTATTTTTATAAAAGGGCTTGATGAGGTTAATAAATGGGAAGCACTGCCTGATTCTGACTGTCTGATATAATTATCCTAGATGGATAATGACACATATTAGTTTACACTGGAATAATTGGACTGAAAATATTTAACACAGAGTTATATACTAAATGTAAAATGTTATTACATGTAAAAACTTTTGGAAAAGTGGTCTTTTTATAAAAGCACATGTCAAAATGACTTTACCATAATATAAAGAGAATTTTCTGTTTATTACCTGGATATAATCAACAGGATTCTTTCCTTCGCCTTCCTCAGAAACAAGGGCTTTACCTTGCTCCCTCAAATAGGAACTCATACATTCACACATTGTCTTCAAACCATTTGGCACACGACTAAATAACTTGTACATGCAAGCAAGGTCTGCAATCAGAAAAATACAATTGACTACATTAAAGACTAAGGCAAAATGTGAATCCATACTGTCAAGGGAAGCTTATTTCTCTAGTACTACCAATCATTTGCTGAGCACATGGCTTAGAAACAAAAAATAGCAACATGGAAAAAATGAAAACAAAAAAAGGCTAATTCATAGGTATTACTGCAATTCATGAAATACAGCTTTTAAGATGCTTTGAAACATTAATATCTTAGCAAATTTAATTAACATGAAAGATGCCAAATAGCATAATAAACAATGCTCCCCAAAATGAAATTTTCTGAGTTCATATGTAATTTTCTCTATGTAACTCAAATGTAAAATCTACTGACAGCACAAACATCTACTGAAAGGATAACAAATGGTAGTCAGCACAAGGAGGAAATTTAAAAATCAACTGAAGTTTTATACTGGAGCCACAGTAATATGAGTAAGAGTAAAGGCAGTAGGAACTGCTTCATTATAATTTATGGGGAAGATTGTATGATATTCATAATATAAACATTTATTCTTCAACGTTTTCTTCAAAGCAATTCCTATTATTTCTCTGGTATCATCAGTCAATATCTGTATTTTAAAAACTGGTCTATGGCACTGTATTGTTTTTATTTAGAATGAAAATCCTGGTCTCTACCCATTTTTGTATCATTTTTCACAAATTTATAATGTAGATTTGAAATATTCTTATGTCTAGTGTTCCTCTGAAATAGGTTCCTGAGAGATTATAATATCAAAATTTTACAATGACATAAAAAGCTTAGTTTTAAAAACTTTGGAAATTCAAATTAGCAGTTAGGTCAGGGGCTAGCCAATTTTCTTCTGTATAGCATCAGTAATAAAGGTTTTACACTGGTCAGCCATACAGTCTCTGATGCTATTACTCAATTTTGTCAGTGTAGCAAAGCACAGATAATACATAAATGACTGAGCATTTGTTTCAAATAAAACTTTATGGGGACTGAAAATTTATACAGAATATTATTTTAAGTCTTCTCAACTACAGTGGTCACAGGCCTGATTTGCCTACTCTTGGCTATATTATGAGCAATTTAGTACTTACAAATACAGTAGTATTTTTAAAATATACAGAAACAAATTTTACAAAAGAGGATTCTAAAATTTGTTTCAGTGACTTTTAACAGTTAATTGTATTAACAGTAAGTTCTCACTATTTTATTCCTACGTTGTTATAACTTTTGCTTATGTTGTATATTCACATATAGGTGGCATATATCACAGTATAGTTTTCCACATTAAAAACAAGTATTACAAAATGCAACACTAATTTATAAATACAAACTTCAGCAATGGTGGCATGCCCAATACCTCTAATGAAATGTTTCTTGTCTATCTTGTTCCTATGTTATTACAAGTTTTGTTTATATGGTATATTCAGCTGTAATAAATTAATATAAATTAATACAACTTAGATGTATTTTAATATATTAGAAATTTATTATGGAAAATGCTTGTAAAAGGTAAAGGAGAAATGTGAGGAAAAAGCAATAGGTAGAGAGACCCGACTCTGATGTGAGTCTTATTGCTCTAAGAATAGAGAAAAACAAGGACTGGGTACAGAGTTTAGGCTGCAGGATACTTAGAAGAAAACCCTGTCCAAGAGAAGTCTTGAGCCAAAATTTGCCATTAGAGGAACCTCACACCCCATGCATGGGCCTGCACCTGTAGCCCTACTAAGCTCAGTGACAACCTAGAGCAGCCAGAGCATGGAAGCTCAGGTGTGGATAGAGTAGGAGAGCAGGGCCACCAGACAACTACCCTCCAGCAATAAAAGATATGACTAATACATTTTCATGGCCCCTGAAGTTCGAAGGTTTTGACTCATGTATCTACTTCATGCTGATTTGAGGAGCAGTGCCTCTGTGGTTCCCATTTGTCTACCTGCCTGAGGGACACTAAAAGATAACTGGGAGATAAATTAACAATGTGAAAGAGTAAGAGCCAGGTGAAGTGGCACATGCCTATAATCCCAGCAGTTGGGAGGCTGAGGAAGGAAAATTCACCAAGAGTTTGAGGCCTGCCTTTGCTGGTCAATGAGTTCAAAACCATCCTGAACTACACAGCAAAACTCTGTGTCAAAAAAAAAAAAAAAAAAAAAAAAAAGTGAAAGAGTAAATGAAAAATATTTGGCAATTCAAAATTAAGTACTATTTCTTATAAATAAAAAATACACAATAAAACAGTAAAAACAAGGTATTAGCTAAACTTTGTTTCACTCTTGTCTGGATATAATAACCAATGCAATTTACCTGCCACAGTGAGAAACTTTCACTTTCTGATTTATGAGAATCTGGCTTCTTAATGGTGGGATTATGCTTTTGAGACATTCTCAACCTATGGCGCAAGAGTAGGGACCACCACAATTAAGACAATTCATAATTAGGTCCCCAGTAGTAAGTCAGGAAAACTGAAGCCAGAATTTTAAAACAATCTAGAATCACAGATAGCTACTTGAAAACAAAGTTCAAAACAGAGCAAAACCATGGTAAACACTGTTTCGCTATTTCCTTCATTCATGATCTTACTAGGTGCTGGCCACCGTTGGACATACCTAATACCTTTAACACAGGTCTTCATACAGATCACAGAGATGTTGTAACTCAAGCATGTCCAGCAGCAATACCCTTATCCAATACTTTCCAGGCCCTAATCTCCAGCCCATTTAATCACCTCCCTCTACACACACCCAAGGCAGGTAAGACAGCAGGAACTCAATACCTAAATACTACATTATGACTGTTTTTCAACGTTCATTTTGTCTAGGAGGCAAAAATGCTTTTCATAAAGTCTAGTCTGTCAGAGACTATTTAGATTAGGAGTCATCAAATTATAGCCAACGGATCAAAATTCCTCATGCCAACTATTTCTGTAGAACTTATAAAATTAACAATGTTTTTAAGTGTTTGGTGGGAAAAAAAAAACTCAGAAACAAGCTAGTGATGTGAAAATTACATGAAATTTAACTTTTAGGGCTCATGAAATTTTAGAAGAACAAAAGTCAGGGTTTTCTCTTTTGTGTAATTTTTCTACAGCTACTTTCTCCTATTATGGCAGGGATGATTGGTTCATAAGCCCATAAGCCTAAAATATCTGCTTTTATAAAGAAAAAGTTTACCAACCCCCTATTGCAGACAATTATCCTAGAGTACCTTATTTTAGAAAACCTGGCAAATGCAGCAGAACATGTTTGCTGCAGCAGAGAAACCCTTACAAAGGAGTTTTTCTGATTCAATAATAATTTGTATACAACTTTTCATAAACTTACATAGAGAAATATAACACAGGCAAAGATCCAAATAAAAATAATGGATAAATCTATCTTAAAATCCATCTTTAACCCACTTCTCTTGTACTCTTGTCTCTTAAAAACTCTCCTTCAAAAATCCTTTTCTATTCCTGATCTATATTATGAGACCAACAGTAGTATTCTGTTTTACCAAAGATAAGCAGGTAAAATACTGCTAGGATTTCATCTAAGAAGTAGAAGAACATGATAACCAGGTTTATTTATTTTCTAATACCGTATTTCTAGTTTGGAAAGTAAGTTTTAATCCAAAGTATCAGAAACTAAAAATGAAGTCAGTATGATTTTTGCTTTTTCACTTACAATTTTTCTTATGATACTTATTACTTCTATGTCTTTTTTAAGAAAAAAAGTAAATAACTATAAATAATATTACAGTTACCTCAAAAATGTTAATTTTTCCACTAACTAAATACAGTATATCAATATGAAAGACATTGATATGTTTGTAGTTTCTGGACTTTTTCACAACTAAATTTACAAGAAAACTCCATACAAAATGAAAGATGGAAACCTGGAATTTTTAAAAAGAGACACATAAACTACAGCTGAGTACATATCAATAGAAAGGACCCAAACTCACTGGTATCATAGAGTATAGAGAAAGCTCACTGGCCTCAGCAATAATACTAAACCTCTTACTTATGCAAAGGAAAATCTCACTCAGATCACTAGAAATACTGAAAATCGTTATTTTAAGGTATAAACCATTATTAAATTGTATAAAGAATAGTGATAAATTAATACTATCTACCATAATTTCTTGAAAACTGACATTCACAGTCTAACTGTAGAGTAAAAACTGAAGTTAGAATAAATATTGTTCCATTTATAACACTTACCTTCTGTCTTTCCGTTTTTCAACATATGTACTAGCCCAGAATTCTCCATTTCTACTATGGTCTTCATGTGCTTGGAAATGAGTTCCCTCTCCACCACTTTTACAATGGGCTCTTCGGTTGATTTGTCAAGGCAGTGCATCACTCGTTCTATTTCTTCATTAATTCTAGCTTCTACTTTCTTTATATATACTGAAGCACTGTTTTCAGCTAAAAACTTCTGGCTTTCCATCTGTAATTAAATGACATGATCTTTTTCAATTTCTTTCTGCTTTTAACTTGGTTTCTATAATGTTTCTCATAAATTAGCCTAAGTAAACCAAGATTTTGCGTAATTTCTCATTACATATACTCATAGTTTGAATTATAGTCTTCAATTTGCCTACCTAAAACTAATGTGATACATTATCTGTAAGCAGTGTACTCCAGAGGGATGCATGAGACTCCAAATGAGAACAGGAAATTCTTCACTTCATTATACATTATTAATAGAAAGATGAATTATTCATCTTAAGTTTTGCTGGCATCCTGCTGGTTATTAAAGTCTGCCCACCCCATTCCCTGATACAAAGGGCTATATATAATACAATTTGAGAAAAGGTGCTTTCAAGTAACAACCTTGTCTATCTTGCAGAAGTTCCATTATATTGCAAACATTAACCCAATTGATTTTAGCCTGATAGTAGTGGTAATAAACAAAACTATGTTGATAATAAACATATTTATGATAATATAAACAATACATACAAAATAACATTTTCCATTTGCTTAATAAAAAGTAGCTTTAATTCTTAAAATTATCGAGTTCTTAAGTAGATATACTAAACAAAAATCTTGAGTAAGATTATCTCCACTCATTATTAAAAACAGTACATGTATTTATACACCGGTACAAATATCACTGTAGCACATTTTAGCAATGAAATCAAATTAAAACTATGAGAAAGTAAAAATACTGTCAAAAACATGCAGAACTATCTGATGGAATGTTAGATAATAAAGACACTGTACATGATAAACTAATAACTCATAAGCATTGAAATATGTTCTGGGCTCACCAGTGTAGCCACAAACATTTTCCTGAGGGTCTACCAACTGACTATGAAGAAGAAAGCACCAAGTCCACCTTTTTTTAAAACAATGGATTAATGGCAATAAAATTCATTGAGTATTTTATTTTTTTGGTGCTGGGGATTGAATTTGCGACCTCACACTTGCCAGGCAGGTGCTTTCACTGCTGAGCTAAATCCCTTGCTCAAGTTTCATTTTTATACATATAATGGCTCTTACTGATCACCTACTAAATTAAGACTTTTAAGTAATTTCTTTTTTGGAGTTAGCCTATAATTTCCTAATCAATGAACTTTAAGATAAATATGATGTGTATGCTATGGAATCGTGCATATCCTTATATGCAGCCATACTTTCACTGTTATATACTACCTATGATGTTATGTTACTTTAATAAAATATTAAGAATTTTTCTAAGTTTACATGTTTTGTAACACATAATGTTCACCTTCAAATTCTTCAAATTGTTATCACTGAGTTTCTTCAGTGGAATATGAGAAATTGGAGTTGGTGTGCTAACAGGTACTTTTTGCATCCTCCCTTGCTCATTGGGCCTCGGTCAAAAAGCCAAAATGTTCAAACTAATACCTACATTCAATAATGTTAAAGACATCCTAAAAGATTATTCATCTATATCTTCATTGATTACCTGAAAAAATTCTGCAGACATTTCCAAAAAAGGAGCTTCAAAATCTTCTTCATAGACTGTTCTTCCTTCAAGACCTAAAATCATTAACATCTGGCAAGCATTTCTTATTGCACCTCTGTAAAAAGAAGTTATCTGATAAAGATTCACAGAAATATTCAAAACCTTCAGAATACTTAACTTTTATTAAAGTGATCAATCTCCCAGGAGTGACTCATTCATATGTATTGTAATAATAAAAAAATTTAATTATGCTGGAGAGGCTTTGGGGATATATGTACACCCCTGTTTACAGCAGCACAACTTGTAATAGTTAAATCTTGGAAACAACTCAAATGTCTATCAATCGTGGAATGGATAAAAAAGATGTGGTATTTTTATACAAAGAGGTATTACTCAGCCATAAAGAAAGATAAACTTGAGACTTTTCTATAGGTAAATAGATGCAACTTAAAACTACTCATAAGTGAAACAAATCAGACTCACTTGAGTAAACATCATATTGTCTCTCTGGTTGAAAGTCAGTAAGGTCTAAAATGTACAGATATTGGGAAATGGGAAGTAATTTGTTTAAAAGGAAAAAGCAACTAGTAGGCAGGAGAGGGAGGGAAAAAGAAAAATGCAAGATAGCTATACTATTAGTGTTGCTTGGCTCACTCAAAGGAAAGATTCATGCTAATAGTGACTGGGGAATTTTTTATGTGCATGTCTTATATGCTGAGTAACTATTTTGAAGGTAACAATATGCAAAGTATTAGTTATTGTTATTCTATTATTGCAATGAAATTGTTTTACCTTTCTTCAATAAAAGAGAAAAATTTAATTGGAAAATGTAATGACTCCACAGCTGTTTATCTCAAGTTATTTTTATCCTATCATAAACTTTTTTGAAGAAAATACATTTAAGATAAACAGCTGTTTATTTAGAATCCAGAGAAGGGGAAAATGCAAATAGGTAAGGCAGACTGTATCACTGGATGTAAATAATAACATACAGCTGTTTCTAGGCAATATAAATTTTTGCATTAAAAGGCTTTCAGGCAATCCTGATCAAGCAGTAAAGCTGAAACAGTAAAAATGTCACAGGTTTGAAGCTAACAAGTGCTCTGAAAAGCAGAAACATTAATCTTACTTACTTACAAGGCATTTTAGCAAAAGCATCATAAAATCGGCATTGCAATTAAAAACAGATATATGATTCAGAAAGGGGGGATATACCTCTCTGTCATTTTAAGACTATGATAAACATTTTTCTTCAAAACGATTAAGAATGAAGGATAGATCAAAGTTCAGATGGGCACAGTGGTGTTTGCCTGTGGTCCCAGGTATTGGAGAGCCTGAGGTGCAACTACTTGAATCCAGAATTCTAGAGCAGGCCAACCAGCTTAAAAGTTGTGACTAATGTCTGACTTTTTTTTGGAAAAGTACATTAAACAAAGCTTAGGATAGTCTCTCCTAAAAATGTAAGAGATATGTGCTTCAATTCTAAGTAACTGATAGCTTTGAAAAGTTTCACAAAGTGCTAGACATTGAAGAGTTTATTTTAATAAAAACTATGACAATGAATTGGTTTACTGAGACAACCACTGAAAATTCAAAGTACAAGAGTAAGAAAATGGGCTGGGAATTTAGCTCAGTGGCTTAAGTGCCTGCTTGGCAAGTGCAAGGTCGTGAGTTTGATCCTAAGTATTAAAAAAAAAAAAAAAAAAAAGAGTAAGAAGATAAATGACATACCTGTCTACAACTTCTCCTTTCCGCTCTCTTGCAATCATATCCAACAGAGTTTGCCGAAGATGGTCCCTAATACACCCATAACGTACAACTTGATCTCGAAAAATAATTAACCCCAAATTGTAGACATTCTCCACATTATTTTGTTGTACATATACACGGTCCTGCAGTTAAAACAAAATAACCCTGAATGCACATCTTACAAAAATAAAGTATTGTGACAGCCAATAAAAATAATGGATATAGTGGATGTGATGGCACACATTTGTGACAGCAGCTTCTAAGGGTAGGGCTTGATGAAGCATGAGAATCTCAACTGTGCAACCTAAAACAGAGTAGAAGGTGTAACACAGTGGTACTGTGTTTACCTAATATGCACTAGGCTCCTGGCATGGGTTTAGTTCCCAGTACAGTGATGATACTGACAACAATGACAACTATGTCAATGATGATAATAATGATGATGACATCAACAGAAATAAAATTCCAAAAGCAGTTTTTTCTCACATGACAAACATTTCACACTATCTTAAGTACTATTAAATTCTCCAGTACCATTCAAATTATACAAAATGAAATCTTTACACTCTATAATAACTACTGAAACAAATGATGGTTACAAGATAGTTGTAATTTACTCTAGGAAAGAAAATGAGAAAAAGCAACCACCACACCCAGAGAGGGCAAATAAACATAAAGCAGAGAAAGGCACATCACGTTTTTTCTTCAAAGTTATACCAGGCCTCAATCAGGTTCTTTCTTAGATATTTAAAAGACTATTTCCTTTCAAGCAAAATTAAAATCGGAATGAAATACAGATCCATGAATTAAACTGTTATTGGTAAATATAAAAAGCCACTATAAGAGTACCATATTAAGTATCACACAATGAAGACACTTCTGGTTTCTGTCACCTCAGACTCAGTACTTACTGAAATCGTTTTATTCTGCCAATCGTCTTACTTTCATGTTCTTACCAAAATTATTTGTATCATGCTTTAAACAGCACAGATAATCTGGAATTACTGGCTGTCGAAGTCTTATTTGGAGCATAATATACTAAACCAAGAAATAAGCATATTGTTTTTAATACAGAAAAGAATGTTACAATTTAATTCCTTTCTCCTCTTAACAAAGATCCTTCTTGTCCATCAAACCCTCTAACAACAGAAAATCACTATGTGTTTATTTTTATGTAAGTACTCAGGAAAGAGAGCTCACAGCTTTTGCCACATTCCTGGAGGAATCTGTAATTTAAAAAAACAGTTAAGAGCTAATGCCAACGGTTATCTGTGAACCTTCTGGAATACTGTACTAGATATAAATTTGAAGCAATACAACTATGACCAAACTACAAGATTAAGAGATTTCCCATACTAACAATGTGACGAGGGTGCTACTGATCAATCTTCCACACAACTTTAAATTCTCTATGTGCAGCCCTCACTACTACAGCACCACCCTGGAAATCTTCTCTTCATTCATTCATCTTATACAGCAGGCAAAAAAAAAAAAAAAAAGCCATTCTATTACCATATGTAGTGCTTATAGTTCTACACTTTTTACAATCTTAGAACTCCATGTTTTCAAATCTTGACATCAACTTCAGTGAAAATAAATGTTTCTATTATTGTTTAAGCGAATTTGTCCATAAATTCAACTTTCACAGTACTAAATGTAAGTTATCTGTGGTGCAGAAAAGGATTCTCCAGGAGAATCTCTTTTACCTAATGGCTGGTTAAACAAAAACAGGTGGTAAAACAAAGCAACTATTCAGCACACCTGAATCTTAAACTTTAAAATATACGGATTATTTAGATGTTAAACTCCTCCTTCCCCGTATACTTTTTTAAAAAGATGAAGATGCCGGGGATTAAACTCAGAGCCTTGTGTATGCTGTTAAGCATATACTTTACTGCTTACCTACTATCTGGACACTCCAGATATTAAAATTTTCTTTGAAAAGGAGTTCTCTAATAGATCAACATCATCTTACTTATATACTTATACATAGTACACTAACATTAGTGTTTCAGCTTCATTATGGTACATGATTAATTGAAGAAATTTGCAAAGCAGTTTAAATATAAAATATCTTTCAAGATTTTTACAATTTTATTCCTATGTTTTAAATTGCCTATACCTAATCCAAATCAATATATTACACATTTACCTAGAATAAAACGCCTCAAAAGCAATCTATTTTGCCAAGGAAAAAAATTCTGCTGCTTTTCACATTTTATCAGTTTAGACAATATTAAATTATACAATAATAATAGTAACAGACATAAACATGTGTGAAAATAAAAGCATCTGACTTTCAGGAAGCACAAAGCTTAACTGGTAGTAGCAGAATAGAGATATCTATAATACAAAGTAGCCTGAGATGAAACAGAACTTCTTAACAATCTGGATGCTTTTAACTTTCAATTACACTGCAATCATATAGCATACTAAGCAAATTGTTAAGGGAAGAAAAAAAATGTATGTATGCAAACACACACATATATAAAATTAGCAAATTAGCAAGTTGACATCTACTAAGATAACTCCTTTTTAAAGAAACAAAATGTTTTTAATTTAGGGTAAGAGAACTGACAAATAATTAAGTTAGGGCTCTGTCTGCTTGCCTGACAGAAAAAACATATACAATGTAATCTTTAGCATAAATTAGGATATTTTAATGTTTCTTTTTATACTGCTCACGGTATAGGTTACTTGACATAAAAGTTCATTCATTTTAAGAGTATTTTGGTAATTTATACTTGAATGATATTTATGTTCAAATTTCTATAATCATGCAACTACTGCTATTAATCAAGTTCTAGAGTATTTTCATCACCCTGACAAATCCCTTGGGCCTGTCTGCAATCAATACCCACTCCCAATACCTCTGCTTATGCATAAATTTTCTTCTTACAACTTTTCACTGTAGTTGATATCTTTCATGTTCAATTTCTTTCATTAAACGTAGTTTATAAGGCTTACTAATGCTGTAATATGTATCAGTATATTGTTCTTTTTAGAGCTAAGCTGACGGATATTTGTTTTTTCTTTATTATGACTAATGTGACTTAAGCCTGTACAACTGTTTTACAGATGTATGTTTTTGTTTTTTGTGGAAGATCCTTAGAGAGGAATTATTGCGTCACATGGAATCTACTAAGTTACTTTCTAGTGACTATATCAGTTATAATAAATTCTGAATATGAAATTATAATAATGATAAAAATATGAGCATTTTTTTGGGCATCATCTCTGGCTGTGCTGTTACCTACCATGTGAACTTGACAAGTGATTTATTCAATCTGGCCCTGAGTAAAAAAGAATGGTAAAACTGGTAAAGATAGCCACGAAAATTTTAGTGTGATTTCTTATTAAACTTTAGTCCTCTGACCAAAAATTAATGTACATAGCGCCAGCTTCTCTTTTCTGTATTTACTACTTCTACTTCTTTCTTCTGTATTTATGATCTCTTCCAAATTCTAAGTAGATTGATGCTATTGGTACTGAAATAATAGTAAATCTATAACCACATAATTATTCTCTTTCAAGTTCTCTGGGGGAAAAAGGAAGAAAGGGGATGAGACAGAGGTGACGAATTCCTCAGGGATGCTGTGAGTGTGAAGGGGAAATGATTTGAGGAGGAAGCCACATGTGATGTAAACACAGAGGTAACTTAAAGGACAAGAGAAACAGAGATATTGTAACAGAAGAACTAAACATGTTTTTTGAGACTGTCAAGGTATACATAATGATTACAACTAAGTCTCCTTTAATTTAATAAAAAATATTATTAACCCTGAAATCTGATTAAAGATACCAGAGACCAAGTAAGTGGAAAAGGAAAAGCCTAAAATAAAATCTTCATGGTGACAAGTAAAATTAGTAAGTTATTTGTATTAAGTGTTTGATATATATATATCATCAATTACTATCAAGTATAAAAGCTGTAACACATATAACTCAAGTATGAATGTTAACAACAAATGCAAACATATATTTAGAATAAACTGTGATCTGCAAATTCACCAATGATAAAAATTAAAACATATGTTAAGCATACTACATTTGTTTATTTCTGAGTAGCACAGCAAAAGGAATTCAGCCTCTAGGCACCTGACAACATTTTCATAACAGATTCTAATAATTTCTTGTTTAAAAAAGTAACTTATTTAAACAATGTTAATCATTTAAATTACTGTTAAATTTTTGGTTTTGTCTACTTCTATGTGAACATTTTTTTGAAATCATGGCTCTTGTTAATCGCTAGCGGAAAAAAAATACTTTTAATGTATGAATAAAATTAAGAAAGTCATACCAAAAAACAGATAATATACTAACAACTAAAAAACCCTTCAGACTAGCAATACAAGAGGCCCACACCTGTATTTCCAGATGCTTAGGAGGCTGAGGCTATGCCACCAGGGTTCAAGGGTAGCCTGCGCAACTTAGCAAGACCCTATTTCAAAGAAAAATTTAAAGGCAGAGATATAGTTTGCGCTTCTTGGGTTCAAACCTCAGTACTACAAGGAAGAAAAATAAAAACCCTCAGGCTGTCTAAAATACTACAGCTCTGTATGAGTTCAACATTAGTCACTGATTTATTGCAGACAGCTCATTGGAAATACAAAGTTGGTGGAAGTTTCTATTTACATTTTTAAAGCCAACATACATTATAAATAAAATGTTCTGAAAACCATGTGTCTGAAGCCTACTATGGGAGCCAAAGAGATAAACTATGCCTTAAATTTCTATTTATAGCTTTTTCTTGAAGTTGCTATTTCTTGGCCAAGGAAGTCTATAGGGAACAAGAAACTTCACAAGCTAAGTAGACCTTGTTGTAAAAGGAAGGAACCAAGATGGGGACCATTTCAAGTACTCTTTTTCACAGAGATGGGTAGAGGTCAGGTGCTTCTGTCACTGGTTTCATTCATATACAGCCTGATAAAGCAACTTACAAACACTTCACATGGGACATAATCATGTATCTTGTCATATTTTTCTAGTCTTGAAAGAACAGTTATAATAAGACTTCCTTTCCAAGAACAATTATAGGGCTGAATAAAAATTAAAAAGCCCTACTTTTTTCTTAAAACCAGTTAGGATTAGGTAGGTCTCAGTTGCTGTGGAAAAACATGAGTGTCTTTCACTGTTACAAGAA